CACATGCGCTTCCGGCTGACCGACCTGGACGGCAACGTCGTCCGGCTTCGTCGAGGTTCGTCTTTGTCGTTCGTCCTATATCTTGACCACATATAATAAAAAGGATGGAGCCGACCGAACAAGAGGCGCCGGAGGCGCAGGAACACGCTGCGCCGGAGGACGCTGCGCCGGACGGTGCGCATTGGGCGCACGCTGCGCCGGAGGCACCGGAACCGAAACGACGGGGCAGGCCTCCTGCCAGCAAGAACAAACCGAAGCAGGACGTGCCCACCGAGCCGGCTGCCCCGAAGCGCAAGCCAAAGCCGCCTCCGCTTAAGACGGCACCGCCGGCAGAGGCACCAGCAGAGGCACCACCGGCAGAGGCACCACCGACCGAGGCACCTCAGCTCACAAGAGAGCAGCAGCGCGCCCTGCGCGTGCTGCAGAGGCAGTCCGCCTACGACCGCCTAAGGACAGGCGCGAGCGTACTGTCAAAGCAAGATAATGTCCATCGAGCCCCGCAACGAGCCGCGTGCTCCGGTGGTTCCGCTACAACCTGCAGCCGCTGCTGCTGAAGCGCTACCGGAAACTGGAGGAGGCGCGGGCTTTCAACAACTGGCTGGGCGAGCGCAGGCAGGCGCAGGAGGGGCAGCGGCACCTGGACGACGTGAGCCGGCTGACGGAGGCCGTGCACCGTCAGGCACCGCAGCTGCGCTATGCGCGCGCCGAGCGCCCGGGCGGCGGGCGAAGTTGCGCACCGATAAAGAGATGAAGACGCTTCGGGCCCACGGCTTCAACCAGCGCTTCGAGCAGGTCGTGGGCTACCTCGAGCGGGCGGAGCCCCTGCCCTGAACCGGACCGCAAGGCCACCTCGTTCGACGAGTCACTTCTACCTGGACTTCGTGCAGTCCAGCGAGGACCCCAACCCCCAGCCTCTGCAGCACACCCCTGCAGGCAATTCCCGAGGACGGCTTCCGCACAGGCCACGGACGCGTGCCCGGAGGTACCCAGGCTACGGCGGAACCCGCTTCGTCGAGGACGACCTGGCAGAGACCGAGGCCGGCGCCCTGGCGAGCAACGGCCAGGCTCTCTCTGTTATTTGTGAAATCTAAAACCGCTCACAGCGCATCCTCAGAGCTTATCATTCAGCATATGTGGATTCTGCGAAAATTTGGTGGTTTTGCGCGGTGCAGCCACAGCCCTTCTGCTTGCATTTCTGCAAGGGTTTTCAGCTTGCTTCAATATGCAGGCAAAACGGGTCCTAGTCGCATTCTGTGCGTCTCGGAAGTTCAAGTTGCCCGGGCTTAAAGCGCTGTTTCTGGCCTTGTAAGTGCGTTTCTGTTGCGGAGCTTTGTGGCTCGAAAAGCCTGATAAGTGCTTTCTAAGCGCAACGGTGACTCAGAGGTTGGGTTGGAATTCTTGGCCTCATTTGCTGCATGTGAGCCTCGGGTTGCGTCTCCGTCAATCCTGCGCCGGCAACAGGATTGCCCCGATGCGTCACGATGCAAAGAGCGCGTCTCGGAGCTCTGAGTGGAAGGCAGGTTGTGGCCCTGCCCCCTTGTGCCGTAGTAGTTCATGACACGACCGGGAAAAATATAGGGAGGGTCTGCGCAAAAGCATTGCTGGGGCGCTGGGTGGGGCAGCGCTTGCAGATAGGCCAGCGCATCCTGGCACCGCACAGTCACGTTGGACGGTGGTAGGTGCAGCCGCCGCACGCAGCTCGGGGGCAGTGGCTGCTGCTGCCGTGCAAAAGAGCCCCACCGCCTGAAGTAGAAGTGCTTGTCCACGTCGCGCCCCGCCAGGCGCGCCAGGGATCGCAGGAAGACCGGGTCTTGCCTCAAGTAGCAGCGGTGCAGGTTCACGACGGGCTCGAACGTGTCCGCGCCACGCACCTCCAGGCGCGGGCGCCGCCGGGCAAGGTAGTACTCTAGCTTTCCGGAACCGAAGAAGGGCGAGCGCAGCACCGACACGTCGCCCAGCAGCAGGTCCAGGTGTGGGGCCAGCCACGACTTACTGCCTATATACTTCAGCTGCTGCCGGCCTTGGCAAGACCGTGGCGCTCATCAGCCTGGCAGCAAAAAGAACGCCCCGTACCCAACTTGCCGTCCGGGCAGGAATTGAGCCACGTGGAGTAAGAAGCGGTCAGTTCCTTGGCCGACGCCTTAGCCACTGGACCAAGGCGTCGGCGAAAACATATGCAAACATGTTTGAAGGACCTGTCACGGGCGACATCCCGGACCTGGACAACGGAGAGGTAACTGCACGTCACCGAAGGGCAGCTGGCCCTGGCTCTGACGCCCTACGCACAAGTGGCAGACCTGGCCGTGGCAGCCTCCGGTAACAACGCAGCCCTGGACGACCGAGTCACCGCAGAGCTGGCTTTGAAGCTGGACAGCAGCGCACTGGCGCCGGCAATCGCACCTCTGACCACGGCAGCAGCCCTGGCCACCACGGACGGGCAGGTGGCTGCGCACGGAAGCAAGCATCGCCGCGCTGCAGAGCTCGCTGACCACGGGTCTCTCCAACAAGGCCGACCAGTCGGCCTTCGACGTGCTGGAGGGCGTGGTGGCCACGAAGAGCACCCCCGACGGCGGACCTCAAACTACAGCACCACGGCGGCCATGAACGGGCCAACAACGCCACGCTGGCCACGGTGGCAGCCAACTACGGCCTCAAGACGGTGGTGGACCAGCACTCCCTCGACATCGCAGCAAGGACTGCACTTCGGCGCCTTCGGCGGGTTGATCTCCGGGCTGGTGCAGCAGTCGGCGGGCACGCTGGACCTGTACAGCCTGCAGATCAGGGCCAGCGCCTTCGAGGGAGAGTCGGTCTCCGTGACGGACCTGCTGGCCGACTTGCTGGCCCTCACGGGCTCGGCCACGCTGGACGGGCTCACCGCGCAGGGCAACGTGGGCTGCGACCAGGTGTGTGTTCACGACGGGCGTGGACGCCTCGGGCGCGGTCTCCTGCGCAGCGCTGACGTCCACCGGCGCCGTGTCCGGAGCCACGCTGACGTCCACCGGCGCCGTCTCGGGCAGCTCGCTGAGCATCACCGGGGCGGCGAGCGTGGGCCTGCTGAGCTCGGCCACCGGAATCACCGGCAGCACATTGACGATCAACAACACGGCGAACGGCGGGAACTTCACCACGGTCGTGTCCACGGGCACCCTGACGGCCTCCGGCGCAGCGACGGCGGCGAGCTTCGCAGCCGCCGGGGCGGTCCACGCTGACGATCACCGGGGCGGCCTCCGCGGGCCCGCTGGACTGCGAGAGCCTGGACTGCACCTTCACGGCCACGAGCGGCGGAGCGTCGACGGGCAGCGTGGTGTGCGGCGACGTGACGAGCTCGGGCACGGTCTCCGCCCCGCAGCTCTTCGCGTCCAACACGCTCACCGTGACCAACACCTCTGACTTCTCGGACGATCTCTTTTTGACGAAGAACTGGGCCGGCTGGAGCAAGGTGCAGATTTCCAACAACAGCGCGGCCTCCAACAGCGGCCCGGAGCTGCGGCTGCTGGGCAACCGCGCACCAGTGCGAGCTCATCATGATCAACGACAAGGCGCTGGTGCAGACGAAGAGCCTCTCGACGCAGCTGTCCCTGCTGCCTGGTGATCGCCGGCAACACGGGCAACGTGGTCTGCAACGCGAGCTTCACCAACTTGTCGGACAGCCGGGTGAAGACGGAGATGGCCGAGGCCGACCTGGGGGAGCTCCTGCAGCTCTTCGACTCCGTGGAGGCCAAGCAGTACATGAACGGGGACCTGAGGCTGGGCTTCGCCTCGGACGACTCGCAGGAACGAAGTGGAAGAACCTGACAGGGACCGCCCGGTGGAGCGACGGCACAGAGATGGTGACCCTCGACTCGCACCGCACCAGCGTGCTCTGGGGGGTGTGCAAGGGCTTCCAGGCCCGGCTGGACAAGCTGGAAGAACAAGTAAAAACATGGACGCCCTGGCCGACGACTTCAACGTGCGGGACCCCCACAAGCTGTACCGCCTCGTGCGGCAGCGGGACATGGACGTCAGGCAGGCCCAGGCCCTCGGCAAGCCCGCCGCGGCGGAGGGGCGCAACGACCGGCTGCAGGCCGACCTGATCGACTTCAGCCAGAACACCAAGCCAAGTACGGCCTCGTGGTCATGGACGTCTTCACCAGGGAGGCGGCCGTGGAGTCGCTGCAGAGAAGAGCGCCGAGGCCGTGGGCCAGGCCACCAAGCGGGCCACCCGGGAGCTGGTGGGCGAGGAGCGCAACTTCGTGGTCACCACGGACCTGGGCAACGAGCTCGCCTCCCTGGACCGGGAGCTGCCCGAGGAGGCCGTGCGGCCCGAGGACCGCAACGCCACGGCCGCATCCAGACCCTGAAGAAGGACCTGGCCACGCGAGTGGCCCGCAAGACTTCGAGCAGGCCGCCGGGGCCTACAACGCCCGGCCGCACGAGACGGTCTACGGGGCCCCAGAGGACGTGGAGCGGCAGCCGGCCACCGAGTTCCGGCTGCTGCAAGACAACGCGGACAAGTTCCAGCACAACAAGGATCTGACCGACCGCCGCATCAAGGCCATAGAGGACGCGGGGGCCTTCAGGGCTCCCACCAACGCCGCCCGGAGCTTCAACCCCCAGTACGGGGACGTGCGGCTGCAGGCCGTGGACTCCATGACGGTCCGCAGCACCGAGAGGCGGGAGACCCTGCTGAAGCTGGCCGTGCCGGCGCCGCAACGCCGCGGGCAGGCTGACGAGGCGCGGCCGGCCCGCTGCGGCAAGGCAGCTGGAAGACTTCTTGGGGCAGCCCAGGAGGCCGAGGCCAGCACAAGGAAAAAAAACATGTCTTAGCATATTGATGGGCTTTGGGGCCAAATCGCATGTAGCCAATTCCACGTTTTCATGCGTTTGATTCGTCACTCACCGGCTGCCCTCAAAATGCAAGCATTGAGAAAAGGAAACAAAAGGTCTCAACAGCCCCCTAAATCGTTCCATGGCCTTCCTCGGTTCCCCAATCTGCTCGTTCTGCACCCAGAAACTTTTTTCCTCATGCTCCGCAATTCTTTGAGCCCCGAGATCCAATTCTAGGCCAGGAAATGGCACAGCAGCAACAATTCAGCCTTCAAGGTTTGGCCGCCCTGGTTTGATAGAAGGCTCTACCAGCGTAGAAGCCAAAGTACTCCTGGTACTGCGCTTCAGATACGAAGATCAAGCGCTGTCCGCCGCTGTGTGGCACAGTCTTTGTCGTTGTCAGCAAAAGCACCAGGATGTCAGCTTTGTCGCATGCTTTGTCAAGCTCGATCTCCACTTCTAATCGAGACTCGCCCTTCTTGCATTGCAAACATTCAGAGATGGTGTGATTGTTGCCCCCTGCCCCCACCTCTTCCAACATGAGAAAGGCATCAGCAGCTGGAGCTCCGGCGGCATTCACCACTAAAACACGTTTGTCAGTCAACGTCACTGTAAGGCTTTGGTTTGTCATTTCAACTACGCACTGGTGCATTCCCAGTCCCTTAGGTAAATTTGTCCGAGCTTTGGGATTGCCGCAGCATGAGGACCTCGAGAACAATTGGTGCCCGGATTTGGCAAATTGCAGATGCCGGTTGATGACCTTGGTGCTTTTCAAGCTGTCAGGCTGGATCACTGCACCCCTGTGTAGATCGGCAATGTCAACTACTTGTCCATCCTCAAACGCAGACGCTCGCAACACTCGAAACCTGGCATTGAATTCTTCCCACTGTTGCCAGGTTGGTTCTGACTCAAACAAGTGGTAGTCCATCAAGTTCCACGGTTGCAAATCGTCAGAGAACTTAGACAAACTCAGCATCAAGTGCAACCAAATGTAGGGCAAGTCGATGCGGTACAAGCACTGGGAGGGGTCGCCGTCCTTGAACTTGACGCGAATAAGCTCCACCTTCTCAGGATCTAGATTGCCGACCGTGTCGCGAGACGAAATCCATCTGCCTGAAACAGCTGCGCGAAGCAGTTCCTTGAGGTCTGCCTCCGGCTCAAGCTGAATGGCGTCGGGATATTTCTGCCTCAATTGTCTCATAACTGCACCCACCAAGGCAGTTGCTGCAGCGTTGGGCATCTCCATCAAGGCCTCTAGAAGGCACTCCAAAGCTCTGCCATGCCCGCCCATGTCTTCGATCAGAAGGTCTTTTAGGCGGTGGCCGGGCAGCACCGGCTGTTTGTTGCGGGTTACGGCGGTCACGCGTGGCAGCTCCAGAAAAACTCGGGCCTGGGGACTGCCAGCAAGTCCACTCTTCACATTTTGCAAAGCGGCCACACAGGCTACGACAAAGGGGCCTTCCATTTGGTTGACGAGGCGGCAGACCTCCTGCATCACCTGATAGAATGGCAGGTCCTTGCCCGCAGCATCACTGCGGTCAGTAAATCCAGGCAGACCTTGCATCCCGTCGACTCCGATCACCACCGTGCTATGATTGAGCTCATCACGCAGCACAGACTTAAGCACAGGCGAGGGTGTGAGGTCGGCAGGGCATTGGATGCGGAATTCGGCGAAGTCTGTTGGAGCGCCGACCTCCCGAAAAGCCTCCTTGTTTGCATTCCTCAGCTGCCACAGCATGCGGCATGCCACAAAGCGTCGGGCATTGAGCTCCTCCGTGGCCCAGTCCCCGGGAGAGAGGCCGTTCTCGCAGCTGATCATGAAGCTCGTCGTTTGCTTGCTGAATTTCAGTTTCTGCCTTTCAGACACATTCTGCAAGCACTGCTCGACCAGGCCCGGGAACTCTGTCAGCAACCGGGACTTGCCTTGCCCTGGGCCTGCAAATGCGATGAACAAAGGATGAAGCTGTTTGTCACTGTTCTTCCCCTTTTGCTCGTGCAGCTTCTGGATGGGGATCTGCATGCTTTCACGGAGCACCTCCTTCCCACAATAGTCCCATGTGGCCCCAACTGTTGCAAGCAGTTGGTCGGCTGCTCCAAACTTCAACTTCTTCGCGAGCAACCTCTCGCACCAACTGCTCCGTGCCTGTCTCCAAAATCGGGCGCGGAGGAGTGTAAGGACATCAGCAATTGTTGGATTTATCGAGTCGGGTGGCTCCGCCTCAGCAAAAGAATTTCAAATCAGGCAGATATGAGCAGGTACATCTAAAATTGAACAATAGAAGGGGATGGAATGGCAGCACAACGGGCCAAACCATCGAACAGGAACTCTGCCCGTGGATGCAAAGCCGGGAATGTATGGTTGAACTCACTGCATCAAAGAGAACATTCACAGAATGCACTTGGGCCTTCAGCAGCCAGGACCCCAATGGGTGCAGAGACATAAAGACATCAGAGTTTGCCCTCCCTCTCCCCGACGGCAGAAGGGCAGGTCTTGCTCTTTGAAAAGCAAGCTGAAGGCAATGACAAAATCACTCACAAGGATCAACGGCACGTCTCAACCAATGTTGACCGGCAGGAATGACCGACCTCCCCGAATGGCAAGGAATGGCAACCATCCGTTCATGGGGGGCTCCATACCGAGCCTGCCAACGACACGAACCGCCGCAATCTGCAAAAATGCTATCTTGGGATTTCCTGGTTCTCTGGATGCGATCAGGGCAGCCCCACCAAAACCATGTGCGGGCCGCGCGGGGAATTTCAAAACCACACACAACGACCAACGGCTCAGAACACAGCCGGCCAGCGGAAGCGACCGACTCCGCCCGCCTCGGACTCCTTCGTCCGGCCGCTTGCCTTCGCCTCCTTGACCTCCTTCTTCGCCCTCTCCACCTTCCTTTCCGCCTTCTCCACCTCCTTCTTCGCCTTCTCCACCTCCTTCTTCGCCTTCTCCACCTTCCTCTCCGCCTCCTGGACCTCCTTCTTCGCCCTGTCCACCTCCTTCTTCGCCTTCTCCACCTTCCTCTCCGCCTCCTGGACCTCCTTCTTCGCCGCCTGCACCTTTTTCGCATCGCCCGATTCCTCCGCCCGAGCGAGACGCCTCACCGCCATTGCTTCCTGCTCCTGGGCTGTCGCGACCTGCTCCTGGGCTGTCGCGACCTGCGCCTGGGCTGTCGCGACCTGCGCCTGGGCTGTCGCGACCTGCGCCTGGGCCGTCTCTTGCTCCTCCAGAGCAAATTGCAGCTGCCGCCGCGCCAGGAGCAGGTCCTGCCCAGCAAGACTCACACGCCGAAGCAGCGCGCACAAACAGACGGCCTTCTCCAATGCCCTTTTGGCTGCTTTGGCGGAAAAACAAAATGCCGCGAAATGTGGATCGGCAAAGGAAGCAAACAGCCCTGCCTCTTCCACGAACTCGGCCCGCATTCTCTGGTCCGCCGCCTCCTCGAGATCGCGCCGGTCCTGACAACCAACAAGCCCAACGTTCAAGCCCGATGCACGTGTCCCCCAGGCCTGGCCACTGTTGTCCTGGCGGCAACCGGCAAAAGATGCGAACAGGCTTCGGGTGGGAGGAGTCCTCTTGCGCAGCCCCGGTGCGCCGAGCGACTCCGGCATGCAATGGGTGCCGTTTTGCCTGAAAGAGCCAAAGTGCAATCTGCTTGCGCCTGCGGGCAACTCTGAGAACTGGGCCAACATGCTGTCCTGGCACTCAGCACGAAACAAGAACATCCAAAGGAGGGACTTCATGCTCCTTCAGCCCAGGAACTCCTCGAGCAAAGTCCTGGGCGGCGGCGACAAGGGACTCCTGAAGCCCGAAAACCTTCGAAAAAAATGTGTCCCAAGACCCAGGCCGTGCTCGGCTGCACGAGCAGCGCCAATGCAATCCCGAGAAGGCAGAGGCACATACCTGGCCGCTGCCTACCGCGGGCACGGTAGCGTCACAAGCTTGCCAGCCTCGGCTTTTGGTCCTGGTCCGCATCATCGCCATGGCTATTCGAAAAGCGCTTGAGCGGCCTGCGATTCCTCAAGCACTGGCACTAGACCCATCGGGCAACCATTGCGAGCTGTTGTTGTGTCAGTGTTGATGAGTACCCTCGAGCCAAGTTTCCAGAGCAAACACAAGATTGACTGGCTTCTTTGGCAACACCAACGCACGGGTTTGGATGCTCCTCCCGCGGCCTGAAGGTCGGTCGGCCAAGCCTTGCAAGGCTTCGCAGCGTCCATCCGTCAGACTGGCTGACCCACATCCTGCCGCTGCATCAAAGTCCAAGCGAGATACCAAACTGGCCTGCCTGCAAAACAAGCAGCCGAAATCGGCACCGGGCCGCCAGGGGCTGAAGGGCGGGGGTTTCTGGGGTCCCTGGTCCCTGGGATCACTGGGGGATCTGGGGTCCCTGGGTCCCTAGGGTCCCTACATTCCCTAGGGTCCCTAAGCTCCCTAAGGTCCCTAGGTCCCTAGAGTTCCTGGGGTCCCTGCACACGTGTGCATCAGACGGGTTCAGGGAGCTTGGGGACCTTAGGGACCTTAGGGACCTTAGGGACCTTAGGGACCTTAGGGACCTTAGGGACCTTAGCCTAGCAACCCTGCAAACCCTACCCTAGGGACCCTAGGGACCCTAGGGACTCCGAGGACTTCAGGGACCCAGCGACGACTTCAAGAGATCCTTGGTGGCCCCAAGGATTTTGGGGCTTGAAGGGATCTTGGCAAGAACTTCACGCCGGGTACCACTCAGCCTGGGCATTCTCCAGCATCATAGGGTCATGCAAAAACACAAAATGCCGAAGCCAAGACACACACACACACGTTGCAAATGGGCCACAACACCACAACATCAGCTCCCAACTGCGAACACGGATGTAGAAAACACCATGTAGAGACATGCCAACATAAAGGCACAAAGACATAAAGATATAAAGATATAAAGAGAAAGGTATACAGATACAAAGATATAAAGATATGAACTTGTAGAAATACAAAGATATAAATATATGAAAATTCATAAAGAGATACAAATACGTTAAGGCAAGTTGCACTGCTCCTAGCTTGAACCCAAACAAGACCACCCAAAAAAACAAGGCAAGTCCGAAGCGGCCGCAGTTCTTTTTTCCGGGATTGCTGAAAGTGGCACTGCTTCCAGGGCACGGGTGCGCCTGGAGCAGGAGGTGCGTTGACCCCCCGTGAAACCCTAAGGCAATACAATGCGTGTCCTTGCAAATATATGCAGCGCGTGCAAGGCGTGGCAAGCGTGCCCACGCCCAACCACAGACCGGTGGTCTGTGGTCAGGAAAGGGCAAGTTGCGGCTCTGCCCAAACCTGCATGATCCGGAGACCATGAGCGGTCCGGCGACCAAGTGGTCCGGAGACCGCGAGCGGTCCGGAGACCAAGTGGTCCGGAGACCATGAACTGAAGCGCAGAGTGTCTGCAACATCTCTTTGCAGAGCCTTGTAAAAGGCAGAGCAGGGTGGGTGGGTGGGTTTCAAATGAAACAGCAAGTTTGGGTCAAGGCTAGGAGCAAAACGGCCACCGCGTAGGTAGATTCACAACATGCCCTAAACACAAGGGAAAAGAAAACCCTAAGCGTTAAGGCAAGTTGCACTGCTCCTAGCTTGAACCCAAACAAGACCACCCAAAAGAACAAGGCAAGTCCGAAGCGGCCGCAGTTCTTGTTACCGGGATTGCTGAAAGTGGCACTGCTTCCAGGGCACGGGTGCGCCTGGAGCAGGAGGTGCGTTGACCCCCCCTTCAGTGTTTCAGGCAACCCCGGTATAAGCGAGCCAGCTGGGCCGCCGGCCTCATCACCCCCCCTTTAGAGTGGGGTTGTACCTGGCAGGGCAAGTACATTGCACACGCTTGGTTGTGAGCATCCTGCGCCGCTCTTTTTTGGTCAAAGCGGCTTGATGTCAAGCTGCTGGCCGACGCAGCCAGGTATTCTGGTTGCCAGGGCGAGGTTGGCTATTGGGCATTAAGGCTCGGCTACGCGCTGCTGGAGGCAGCAGGGCGCATCTATCGGACACAGCTGAATGCCTCTGCCTGACAGCGCAAGGCCCGCAGGGCTGAAGCGTACGCGACTCTCAGGGCGATGGCTGAATCGGGCCAACCTCTGCTGAGGTCGTCTGCCCAATCATTGCTCCTTCCCGGAACGTGTGTTGGCTGCAGCAGCACGCTGCGCGCGTGAGCCCAGAAGGCTATTAACTGCACGAAGAGTTGCAACGGCCAGGAGGTCGTGAACAATTTGTTAAGGCTTGCTTCCGTTGCCGAATTCTCAGCGCCTGAAGGCACGCTGAACGAGTAGTGCCCACCACCAATATGGCTGTGGGTAGCTTGCAACAGTGCCAGCTGCGCCAGCGTCTCGAAGCATGCGATGTACCGCTGTCCAGGCTTGACAAGGCAAGGCCATACTGCCCGTATGTCCTGCATGTTCCAGGTTTCGGCAAACCAAACCACTTGTGACGAAGCGATTGCCCAGCCCCCTATACCTACCAAGTCGTCTTCGGCACACGCATCCGCAGCTGCCAGTGCTTGCAGCTGGCGTGGCCGTGCCAAGGCTGAACTGGCGAGTGCTGGAAGCACGAGGCCAGCCATGCAATGGCTCGACTTGGAAAGGCTAGTATAGGGGTTATTTGGATCCACGTCGGTTTGCTTGTGCCCAGCACACACGTGTGTGGGGCGGCCCAAAATTTCCAAAATTTTGGACTGCGATCCACAGGCTGGGAAGGCTATGGCGTGTTCTGAGATCCTTGTTCAAGGATGCTCTGAAGGCTGACCACATTTGAGGTGGTATTGAGTGCATTGAGCCTGGCGGGCTGTTGAGATCAGAGTATAGCGGCGCTAGCCAACTGAGATGCAACGCAATGCTGGTGGCCCAAATGAGCAGGCCTATGCGCTGCTCAAGTGTTTTACGGAGTACCCGTTTGCTTCCCAGCAGTGCTTTGATCAAGGCGTCCAGCTTCGTCAGTTTAGCGGACACGAGCTGAATGGTGTCGTGGGAGAAGTTGATCTCCCAGCCACACCAAATAAGGCCTGGAACTGCGCCTTTTTCCACGAAATTGGCGCAGCAATCGCGCAGAAGAACAGCACCACTAAGCCGAACATTTCTGGAGCGCTATCTCGGACGAGTGCGCACAGAAGGTCGTCTACGAAAAGGAAGGCTTTGCGGGGCTTCCAAGCCAATAACCCATGCACTTGGCGAAGTAGGAATGCGCCAGTGCGCTGCCACCAGAATGCCGAGAAACGGCCTCCAAAGTGGCACACTCTATAATGGTAGAGTTTCCCCTGAAAGGCGAACAGCAGAAGGCCATGCTCTTCAGGGCGGACCTGCACCTGTTTGCGCGCGGCTTTGAAGTCAATGCTTGCACCTGTCGTCCGGTTGTGGACAGCGCCAGGTCCGATGCCATTGGCAGGCTGAGGCGCTCTGGCAAACGGCATCTTGAGTTCACTTGGCACACGGTGCTGTCCAGGACAAGGCGGGGCTCTTTCCCTTCTGCAAAAACTACATTTAATTTGCCTATACGGCTATACCTAAAGGCAATTTTTCACGAGCCTCGGCAAGGCTCAGGCCGGTTTCTACAATCCAGTTGTTGGCAATTTCATTGCGCAGCAGGCTTTGCACTGTCTCTGGCTTGTCCTTGGCCATCTTCCAGTTGCCTTCACAGATCTCCGGCTTTTTGGCAGGCTGGGTGGCAAGGCTGAAACGGCTCCCGTCAGTACCCTGTGTTGCAAAAATGGCAGCAGGGCCATGTCTGGGTCACCCAAGAGTTTGCCAAAGCCTGCAGCAGATGGAGTCTGTATGGCTGTCCTGCCTCGGGGCTCATATCTTGAGGGCAGGGCAATTGCAGAGCCGTGTAAGCCATATTTGCCACTTCCAGGCTTTCGGACGGTGAGAGAGGGCAGTCTGGAGAGCCATTCCTGACGTGCGCCAGGCACCAATTTGCGCTCGTGCATCCAATGCAGCAGGGCCTGGCCACTGCTTGCAGTGGACGAGTGCATTCCTGCTCCGTCGCAGGTCGGGACCCTGCAGGGCGCTAATGTGATGGTCCTGGGCATTTCAGAGTGCAGTGGCAGTGCTTGTCGGAAGGAACCCGTTTCGCTGACCCTTCCTACGCCTACCTGGGCAAGTTGCAAGGCCAGGGAAGGTGGGTATTCCGCGGTCAGAGTGCTGAGGTATACCCCTTGCTCTTTCACGCCTGCAATGCTTTGATGCTTGTATGAGTGATTGCAACGGGCTTCCAGGGCCTGGATTTTTGAGCTGTTGCAGCCGAAAGCCCATGATTTGGAGAAGGCCTCTGAACAAGGCTCTGCCGCGATCGTGAATGGTTTTGCTATCCAGCAGTTTTTTGCGTTGCGCCGGCGAAAGGCCGGCGTCCTCAAGGCTTTGGGCCCGCCTGGGCGCTGGAATATTCCTTGCAAGGCGGGGCAAGCATTATCAACACCACGATTCCTGACCAACAGAGTCTGAGAAGAGCTTCAAAGACTTCGTTGTCCAGTATGTCACGCGCGGTGTTTCCATCCAGATCAAAAGGCTCAAAGCAGTCAAGGCCAAGGCTAATGGCTGCCAGTGTGCCTACCCGCAAACACGTCCAAAAAAAACTTTTTTGAGGCTGAATGCAACGGTGGTTCCGATGAGCTTGCGTTGG